CCCACTCCTGTAGGCAGGAACCTGGACTTGCCAGCATGTCACCTCCTCACCCACACAGCCTGCTGCAGGGAATCTAGGAACTTTCTGAATAGTTAGGAGAATCACTGTCATAACTGAGTTGAGGTATCTTTCTCCCAGTGTAAATTTCCTTCTATTTTACCTCTCTTTTATTCATTATTGAGAATTGTTCATCAAACACCTGTGCTCAGCTTTGTTTTATGAATGCAGCTGTGGGTGCCTGCTGGTCCTCCTGGAAGCAGGAGACACCCCTGTGAAAAATAAGGTACTGAGCTGTATTTTAGGGACATGTATTTTCATTATCTTAATCTTAATTTGAGGTTGATCTTTATCAATATTTAGCCAGTTTGTGCATTCTGTCCAGATAGGAACCTGTTTTTTACTCCTCTGCATTGGAATTTGTGTTAACATAAAGCATTGAACCCAACTTAAGAAATTGAGTTCATTTGGGTTAGAAGATGGAGCATTAATGACTGTCTAATACAAGACTCCTGTCTCGAGTTCTCTGTAAAAACTTTACTGAATCTTTTACCAAGCAGTATTTATGATTCACATGGTCCATATCTTGCATTTTGTTAGTCTGCAGCCCTTGCCGAACTCATGGTTTCATGCAATGCAAATTTTTCAGTATTTTTAAGATGAAGTGAAAGAAGGGCTCAAAATAAGGTATTTTCCATTTTTATTGTAATCAAAGCATGCATGGCAGATTTTTTAAGCTGGCATATGCTGCTGAGTCAATCTGTTTCTGTCTTTTTGATGATGTGTTTTGAAATAGGAGTTACACTTTTTTTTAAAATTGTATCTCAACTTTTCATAAGTGTATTTAACTATAAACTTAAACGTATATGAGGTTATTCTCATTTTAAGAATGAATCATAAAAATCTTAGCACTGTTAATATTCAAATCCTAAAAGTATGTCTTCATCCGTATCTTCCTCACTGTTAAAAAGTAGCTTAGAAATGTACAACTCAAAAAAATTAATCCTCACCTATGGTAACTTCCAATACTTCTAAGCTAATGCTCTTTTAAAAATTGGCAATAGCATATACAGATAACAGTTTTGGGGAGACTTCACTAAACATTGCCTGGTATTCCAGACTCATAATGAAACGTGTCTTGTAATTCTGAGGCTTTTTGGCAGATGAGAAAAAGTGATTGAAAACTTTTGCAGGAGAGTTTTCAAGATCAAATGATGCTTGGCTGCACTGTGCAATATATGAGCTGAGCAATTAACTGGAAGAAAATATTAATTCACATTTTCCATTAATTTGTAGACAGACTCATGTCTCCAGAATTTAACATTAGCATTATCAGCTGCAAATGATGCATGGTGGAAGTTCAAACCATTTGACTGTAGTACACTTTTAACATTTTTCAAATGATCCTAAGGTAGTTTCATCCCTGTCTTGAAAATAATCAGGCAGACAGGGAATTATTCCCATTTCAACAGTGCAGCAATGAGTAACTCGGGGGGAGACATGCACTTTCATGGATTGAGGCACGAGAGAAAAAATATTCCCCCTTCAATAAAGTGTTTAATTGTTCTCTTCTTTCAGTTGAGAGGTAATGTATTGTTGGCAGCACACAGAGCCTTTGTTCTGACAAGATCCATCAGTTCTGGTTGAGGGTGGATTTGTAGGGTGTGGTTTCCCTGTGAGCTTAGGTTTCTCAATCAGCATTAGCTAGGGTTGCCTTTAAGCAAAGGAAAGTCATTAGCAGATGTCCAGCTATGGTGTGAATTGGATCAACTTGTTGATCTGCTTGAACACCAGCCGCCGTGGTGTAGGCTGTGTTCCATCAGCAACTCCTCCATCCGGTTTGATGCAGGAGGGAGGGCGGCTTACACAGCAGCAGTGTTTTCATGTGCAACTGCATATTTAAGTGATCTGTATAAGTGACATTAGGCATTATCTGAGTGTTTTTAATTATTGGCTCGCTGCTGATACTCAACATTTTCTTCTACATCAACAGCTTTACTGGCCCATGCCTACTCATGTAGATATTTGTTCCAAAGTCTTTGTAGGAAGGTGCCTGTTGACATGGTGCTGGAGCATCACCATTGCAGTTATAACTAAAATCCACATAGAGACAAAATTCATGACACGTTTCTGAAGAGTACTTAGTTTCAGCCTTTTGTGAATGCTTTCTCTGCTCTGTGTGCCTCATATCTTGGGTGACCAAGTCCCAGGCAGTGTCCTATAACTGCCAGTGCTTAGTCTGTGATAAATGTATTGGACAGGTACATTTAAGTGAGGTAGCCTAGCTGTTATCCTTCAGGCAAAATTGAACTTCTTTAACAATGTATTTTACAGGTATCACTTTTCATTTTGCGGAGTTTTCCGTACAGCTTACCTGGACCCTTCCATAAGCAGAAAGGAGCTGCTTTCTTTTTCCGTTTCCATTGCAGAGCTCTGAAACTTTTCCACTGTCTGCAGCAGCTCACCACTCTGGTGGTGTGATTCTTTGTAAGGGCTAGTGTCCAGCTCTGTGTATATGCTACTGACCCTGAAGGGAGATACCAGAAAGCTCTGGGAAAGCCTCTACCAAAACACTGGGATGCCCCACCATCGGGACTTGGCTTGCTGTCATGTTTCCAAAGTGGGTTTTACAGTGCTCTCTCAGTATTCAGAGTTAGATGTGGGGATGTCTGTGAGCAAGGAGCACACCCTTGTTTGCACGCACAACTTCGGTATCACCTGCCAGAGGCTGTTGCCCTCGTCTGGCATTTTCTTACCTGGCTTCAGGTATAGAAGCAAAGGCTCAACACAATACTGCATAATAGGGTGGAAAGTCTGAAATGGAAAGTCATGTCTGTGATTTTAATTCCAGGTGTAAAGTTTAGTGTTGGCTTTGGGCAGCACAAAAGGCAAAATTTGTGTCTTACTGAAGGGGTAGGTCTCCTCAGGCTCATAAATGCAGTGTTAACCAACATACAAATCTTAGTGTCGCTCAGCAAAGAATCAGATTAATGATTTAAGCTCCTCTACTCATATAGCAAATCAATGATATAAAGGATACCACTTCTCTAGAGATTTAATTAAAGAAAAGAAAAAAATACAGATGACTCTGCCAAGCCTACATACATGATTGAACTGCAAGTGAAGTCTCTGGCTTCTTGGTCCTTGCATGTTCTGTTACTTAAAACATCAGGAATAGGGGTAGAATATATCACAGGTCTCTGGTGGCTTCTAAGCTTGTTTACTGTAATATGTAGTATTTGAAGAGAAAGAATGAAGGTCTGAATCATCCCTAAATAAATTCTGGACCTCAAATTGTGAATTATATTGTATGTTAGAAAAGATAACTCCACTATCCAAAAATCACACGATCAGATGCCCTATGAGCATATAGTATACAATATTTTTTTGCCTCCCAAGAGCTTGCAGCACAGGTAGCTACAGCAGACACAAGGCACTGAAATCATGAGCACTAGCTGATGGATGGAGAAAGTGTAGTGCTGAGGGAGTAATTTGTGGTGGGTCTAGTGACAGCGTGATATCAGCAGGATGAAACAGGGCCTGAGGCTGCCCTAATGCCTGATGCTCCTAAGCTACCAGACGCGAACGCGCAGTTTAACAGTGGACATATGTGAAGTGGCTTTCTAGTTTTAGATAACATATTCCTTTTACTCAAGCTTTTGCACTGAATTATCCTACCTAGATCAGAAGCTGCATTGAAGGTGTACATAAAACCAACATACTACATATCTGTAAAGTTTGGGAATTGTGTGTTGTAGGTGTTCTCTAGCTGTGCAGAGGAAACCAAACTGAGCCAGTCAGGCACACTTCCTCTCATTTCTTGCATGGTTTTCTACATATAGCTAGAGTTGGAGTGTAAGGTTGAGGGTACCATAAAAGTATTTCTGTAGTCTCATGGTATTTTCTTTTTTTATTCTGAAGAGACCTGGGTTTCTGCTGGAAGACAAGCTACTTCTAGTTATGAACCTGTTCTGGTGCTAAAGCTGCAGCTGAGGTCTGTGTCCTAAAATTGAACCTGGTTTCTCTTTCCACTATATTCAGGTGTACTAGACTTGATGTTCTGGTTGTGACAGTTGTGAATCATTAGGAAATTTAAGGTAAAGCTTAGAAGTTTTTGAGCATTCTTCAGTGACAGTTCTGCTGGTCCACTGCATGCTATGATTTTGAAGTAGTGCTTGCTCGTGTATGCAGTCTGTAAAAGGCGTCTTCTGTGCTAGAACCACCTGTAGGACCCCTAATTACAATGATCTTCTCAATTCAGGATTATATAACTTTTTTTTTTTTTTTTTTGTTCCTTCTTCCTTCTCCCCCACTCCTAAACAAGCATATTCCTATAGCACTGGGAAATGCACGACTGGCAAGAGAGACTTGCTGCCTCTTCTTCTCTTTGACAGTTTAACGTGATGATGTGCCAACCCTGGATAGCTTGCAGTGCTTCTAGACACCACATCCCAGTGCTGTCGATCTAGCAATATTTATTAGCATTAAAATTTAATTTGAAAACATTTTGAAGTAATGAAGTGGGAGGGGGAGTGGGTTACATGGCCATTGCTTTTTCCTTTTTTTGATGTTGTGCCTGTTCAAGCTGTGTGCATTTGTCACAGTGGTTTCTTTTCTAAGTATTTCCATTTAAAAGTCAGTGTTTGTTAAAATATACTTGTGTGCCTGGTCTAACATTTGTATTACATATGTGAAAAAGCAAGAGAATGTATACAAGGAGCGGTCTGTATGTGGTACACTCTCTGCCTTACAGTTATTGCATCCTGTAGAAAGAGGCTGTTAGGCTAGAGCAGTGTTTTAATTTCATTTTTTAGTTTTCAGTTACACATTTCTGGAGCCTCCCTGACCACTGCTGTTACCTGATGGCGCCTATATTTCATCAAGTTTAGACAAGCAGTCTACCTGGACTTAGGCCCAGAGGAGCTGCTGTAACTGATGAACATGATCCCCTCTGCCTGGGAATCTAAGACCTGTAGTACCATGATTCCCAAGGGAATTGAAAGAAAACTGTTCAGGCCTCACCTCCTGCTTTTTTAATTTTCTTTGTTGTTTTTATGTAGTATCCCCTTGTACTGATGGGTAGCGTACCTCACCACAGGTAAAATCTGGTATTAGTTTGTCGATAGCAGAAAATTTTCTATTAAACCTAGACTGGAAACAGAAGCAACAAAGAGCAAGAGCACAGGCAGCTACAGAAGTTACTCTGACATCTCTTGATTACTGCTTACAAATAAAGTGACAAGTTATTAAACAAAATAACAAAAAATCTTGCAGCACTAGTGTTATTATGTTGGTCTGGGTTTTTTTTTAACTACATAATCATTTTTATGCTTCCAGAGTTTAGTGGATAAAATTGCATATTTTAATTTTGTTCTTGCATGGTTCTCTTTAATATGTTTCATTCTGTTGGAAAAACTGTATTATATAAACATTGTATATTATTGTAGCTGTGGCATATTATCATAGTGGATTTTTTTATTTAGAAAATGTTTTTAGAATTTTTTATGATTGCGGAGTGAATGTTAGCTTTCAATGTAATTAAATTTAATTGCATTTCCTGTATGTTTTATTTTTAGTTTGCTCTTATATGCCTTTATTTTCATTAGGGGTTGTAAATTTGACATATTTTTTTAAGAAAGCAAGGAGTTGGCAGTCAGGCACAAGGCAACTTTAAAGCAATGAAATAATTATATTTAAATTCTTCTAAATGTGGGGAACATGTAGTTTCTTCTTAACAATCAAGAGCTGTTTCTTCATGGTTTTTTGGATTGTGTGGCCTTGTTTGTTTTTTTCTTTTGTAAGTTTAAAAAATTAAGATGAGGAAGAGTAATTAAAAGCTGCTTCTTCCTTCCTATTCTAGCTTTTATGTCCAGGTCAACTGGACAAGCAGGCAGAACATGTTAATTACTCTCTGAGCTACATATATTTTGCTCTTGTTCATTGATCTTTTACTGCTCATGTTTACCTAACATGTTATACCATTACTCGTAGAGAGAATATTTTCCTTGATATCTTAAGAAAAAGTGTGGAAAAATTTGTCTTCAACTACTTTTTGTTTTTCTGTTATTGTAACAGTTTGTCTGACTTACTTATTTGTTTAAACATGATCTGTTTACCCTGAGGAACTGAAGTGGCTGGAGAACTTGTAAAGCTCTGTATTTGTGAATGTGAAGACTGAACAGATGAGGAGTCTCAGATTTACTTATTTAAATCTAGTGACTAATAAACATCTGAAATAAAGACATTATTACTAGAATTCCAAATTTATTTTTCTCTGTGTAAGGGAATATAAGGTCTGCTGTAGCACAGTACGGCTATTATATTACAGTTCACATCTTCCAGGCTCCTTGTCTGCTCCAGATTTGACATTCCTAGTATTTCTGAGGGTTTGGTGTTTTGTTTTTTTTTAAAAAAAGGCATTAAAAAAAATCAGATCTTTTCAAAAGTCAAAAAGGTAAAAGTGCAATTCTGTGTTATAATCATATTAAGATTTTTTTCAGTCACCAGCAAGGGAATTACTGTTCTTACTAGACAAAGTTCATTCCAAGTTTTTGATAGAGAACACCTGGGGAGTGAAGTTGGGGTTGTTTTCTTGCATTGTGACAATATTCAGAGGCAACAGGCTTCAGGTTTCTGTTGTCTGAATTGTAGGAATCTCCTGCCCTGGAGACTGTGCAGCGATTGAAATAAATAAGGGACAGAGGCAGAGGCTTTTGCAGCACATAGGCTTTCTCAGCTCACTGCTCAGTGGCAAATCAGTTTGAGAAGCTACGTTGTGAGTCTCACCTTGGTGTCTCATAGCCTTTCCACCTTCTGGGGTCCTGGTGGGAGCTACTGGTCCTTGGGAACTCGCCTGCTTTGGAAACAGGAGGTTCTCCTGCTAGTCTACCGCTGCCCTTATCACAGTAAGACACACAGCTGTGTGACTGAAGAGAAGGTATGATCTCAATACAGTGTGGGGCTCAGGTCCTTCATGGGCCTAGAAGCCAGGAAGTAGGGATTTGGGGAAGGTGGTGTGCATGACTTTGGATAAGCTGTTCTATTTTCTATGTCTTTCTCCACCTACAATGCAGATATTTATCTACCTTGCAGGTGCATTGGTTGAAATTAATGAGTTGTTTGTAAAGCACTTGGAAGATGAAAAGCGCTATAAAAATGCGATGTATTATTATGTGTGAGGTCTTAAGGGCATAATGGTTGTTTGCCTGCCAGTATTTAAAGCAATTTGTTACATACTAAGTATGAAAGACACTGTGTGAAGTTCTAGTTTCCATTTAAGAAAAATCACTCATTTTCTGTTTAGTAGTTCAGGTCACACCACTGGTCTTCAGTGTTACCTAGAGTGAAAACAGACTCTAGAAGACTTTTTAAAAGGAACCATTTCAAAACTTTAGAATTGGGTGGTTGTTACAATAAGGGTTTCTTCTCAGTCAGTTACTTCATACCCTCTTTATATGTCTTGGGTTTTGTTTGCCAAATTCCCAGGTCTTCTACCTTCTTCTGTTCTGCCAAATGCTTCTTACACTTCTGTCTGAACTGTTCTTCATGCTGCTTCTGCTCAACAGCTCTTGCCACGTTGCACAGGTTTCCTCAGCCCTTTGTCTACCTACACCTCACTTCGGTCATTCCTGCACCCAGGCTTCCCCTGTGCTCCTGCCCCAAGGAGTCTGTCGATCACGCTGCCTGGTACGGTGCAGGATACTTCTCTGATAAATATGAGAGTGAACTGCCTGTTGTCAGGCAAAAACATCCACAGAAGGGGCAACGTTGCTCTGTGTTTGAGAGCAGACCTCCCTGTCTGTGACGTGCTAGTTCAGTGATCTTCAAGCTTTTTGAGCATGAGTTTTTCTAAGTGTCCTCCAGTGGTGATGTGGACTCCCATGTAGGGAACCAGAACATAATGATCTTGCTTTCTAAAACAGTCTTTTCATGGTCTTTGGATGTTGCCATCAAAATCCCAGGTTTCCTCAAATCACAAGCTGAAAACAACTGTGTCACTGTGTCTTGTTTATTATGCATCAGCACCATATAGTCAGTCCAGCTTGGATAGTAAAATACTTGCTTTGGCCCCAGTCTTGGTTTACTGCATTGGGCTAGAGATGTGAAACAAACAAATGCCCCATCTTAAATAGATTCACACATATATAAATATGCAGTCCCCCTCACTTTGTAAAATGTGTCACATAACCAGAATAGTGCGTGTTTTAATTGTAGGAGTAAAATGGGAGAGGGTAGGTGGCATAGTTTGAGCTCAGAGGGCAGGTAAGCACCACATAGCCACTCACTCACCCCTTCCCCCTCCAGGAATGGGAAAGAGAAAGTAAAGCAAAAGGTTTGGGAATTGAGATGAGGACAGAGAGAGATGATTCACCCATTACGGTCATGGGCAAAAGACAGACTTGTTAGGGGAAGAAAAAGAACATCAATTTAATTCAAATGCTAACAACAACAACACTTAATAGACAGAGTAGGATGGTGAGAAGCATTACCACGTCTTAAAAACACCTTCCACCACCCCTCCCTTCTTCCCAGGCTCAGTTTTGTTCCCAGTTTTCTCTACCTCCTTCACCCCAGCAGCTCAGGAGGGCACGGGATGGGGTTTACAGTCAGACTGCTGCTTCTTCCTCCCCAGGGGGAGGACTCCTCACATTTTTCTCTGCTCCAGTGTGGTGTCCCTCCTGTGGGAGACAGTCCTCCATGAACTTTCTCTGACATGAGTCCTTCCCACAGGATGCATTCTTCCTGATATGCTCTAGTGTGTGTCCCTCCAGCACATTGCAATCCTCTCAGTGCTGAACTACAGCAGCGGGGGCTGCTTCCCACAGAGTCCTGGCCTTCTTCAGGTGCAGACACCTGCTCCGGCATGGGGTCCTCCACAAGCTGCAGGTGGGTACCTGCTCCACCATGGACTTCCATGAGTGTCAGGATGGTGGCCCTGCCATCTCACCATGAGCTACAGGGGGACTCTGCTCTAGCGCACCTCCCTTCCTCCTCCTTTCAGCTGACCTCAGTGTTTGCATAGGTGTCTTCCTGGTAACTCTTCCTCAGAGCTCCAACTCCTCTTTCCAGGTTCCCCTTCTTAAATACATTATCACAGAGGCACAGCCACCATTGCTAATTGGCTCAGCCTTGGTGCAAAGGCTAGTCCAACTTGGAGCTGTGGGAGCTTCAAGAACCTTCTCACAGGGGGTGACTGCTGTAGCTCTCTCCCCCACTACCAAAAACCCTGCCACACGCAAACTCAGCACAGCAGGCATGAAAATTTGTATACCATAGAGCAAGGTCTTGCAGTTTACTGAATGCAATTCAATCAGGAAAATAGAGTATGTGGCTATGTTTAGTGTGATAAAAAGTGTCAGAATTCTCTATTTTGTCTTAGTTATTGCATTATGTTACTAAGTTTTTAAAAGGATCTAGGAGAAATCATTTAAGATAGTATTTAAAAGCTGACCTATTAATTGGCTTGAGCTTTATCCATATAATAACTGGCTGTTCCTTGGAGGTAGTTACTACAGACATTTCTGGACAAAGGAAGTTTGAATTATTTTTTTTAAATTCCCTTAAGATTGTTCATATTTAAAAAAAAAAAAAGAAAAACAATCTGAAAATGTTTTATGATATAGAAACAAAGTATGGAAAGTTTGTTTATTTTGTTAAATGACTTACTCCCTGGGGAGTTCTCCTATTAGAGCCCTTGTCCTTTCCAAATCACTAGATGTCTTTCCCTATACTTCTTAATTTCTGAACAAAGAGGAAAATGTTGGAAACCAAGTGTTCAACAAACTGCCCTGCTGCATGGAAACCTTAGAAAAGGGGAATAAAGGGCTCTTCAGAGCTTCTCAGAGGTCTTTTGGCAGGCATACTCGGTAGTGTGCAGTCTGAGAAAACTTTCATGAGTGGTTTTGAAAGTTGCAGTGTTCTGAGTTTAGAAGATAAATAACTAGCCACTCTAGCCAGCTGTATAAAGTGTCCAACCTTCACATTTTAAAGATGTTTACTTTCAGGTATTTATTGTTAGGATACCTGTTTAAAGCTATGTTTCACTTTTAGATTGAGCTCATTTTGAACCACGAGGGACTACTGCAGTAATGAACACGA